TGTTCTACTCTAGCACAATCTGGTGGCGAATGTCGGAACTATTTAGAGCTCTGTCACTGCTTTACCACTCATTGCAGATAGAAGGGTCAACATACAACACAAATCCTGTTTGTATGCTTGTAAATATTGATTACAGGAGATATCAATAATTATCGAAATTTCCTTAAACCTCTAAGTTTTCGTCATCCTAAGGAGTAAACAAGCAAATTCTAAGACACATTTAATTTTAATCTCAACACTTACTCCACTGTAGCGATGTATTCATTGAATTCGGATAATTAATGATTTAAGACATCGAAATATTGCTTCACTTAATGAGAACTTGATAATTGTTCGTGTACATGTGACACTTTGCGAATTTTTTAGTGATAATATGTAAAATTTAAAGGAAAGAATTTTAAAAGTTAGGCTTTTCCCGCATTTATTAATAGGCATTTCATTGTTTTGTTTGAAACAGAATTTCGAACATATTTTGAAATTTTGAAAGTAACTTGGCAACAATTGACGATTGATTTATTTACATAAGCATATTAAGCGAAATTGACATGTCCTTCTTACATTGCTTCATGAAATTATTCATGTACACGAGATTTTTTGATTTATTGAGGTGTGTGATATGACCATATTTTTTTTACAAACATTGTTCCGCGGACTGGATAGGCTAAACATAATGACCAAAACACTTACCACTTCGTTGTCATAGACGTAATTCTGAAGCAAAAGGCTACAAAAAAATCTCCATATCAGTCATGCAGAATTCAGCCTCGCAGTGATCCTTCACACAAGTTCTGATAACAGATGCGGACTAATATAATTGCCTTCTCATGTTTAATTCACTCGTTGGAAACTTAATTATTACTTTTGTGTCAGTTTCACCATCATGGCATTGTTACCTCATCGAAGTGCTTCATCTGCAGTGCAATAATTCAGAAAGTTGTGTTGCACAAAACCATGTGCATTTTGAATATTTACTTGAACACCAAATTATTTTCTTTAAACATGTATTCTTAAAACATGTATATTTGCTGTTAATAACTATTTTCTGGAAGAGTACGAATCATTTTTTTGTAATTGCAACTATAAAAACATGCTTGTTTATTATCAGAAATAAAACAGTACTTTGTCGAATTTAAAAATTTTCACCCCAATTTTCTTTTTTTCTCAATGCATGTGCTATTGTTTGTCAAATATCTTCTTTCTTCTCAGGTTCAATTTGAAAATGATCCAATGAGTGCAAAGTAAATTCTCAACTTCACCGTAGGCAAGTGCAACCGCTGATGGTGTGCTGGAAATCTACCTCTCCCGTCCCTGAAAGTTGTTCATTTATTGTTTACAGATCAACTTTCTTCTTGGATGGGCGTATACACGTATATCATACTTGATAGTTGATTCTTACGGATTTGCGTGTTTCGTATTTAACCGTATCTCGAATGCGTTCTCAGACGCAGTTTTATCCGTTATGTATACTGCGTCTGGGTCTTAACGATATTCTTCGCAGCTACTTACCAAAACGAATCTGGCACACGTTTTACCTGTATTCGATATAGGTCAACCACGAACCGGTATTCGTTAGGGGCCTTCGGGTATGTGACTAAACGCCGACTTCACCCACACGAGTAAACGGATAAAGGTAAAACCTCACGTACCTCCAACGTGTAACAGTCGCCCTAAGAGCGCCTTCTCACAACGCCACCTTCCGACAAGCGTCAGGCCTCTTCCGTCGTCGCCACCGCTGCACTCCACGGCCGCACATCAGCCCGCCGTGGAAGGCGGTGGGTTCTGCAGGGGTAGGGACCGAAACAGGTAAAACTCCGCGACCGGCGGCGCAGGGGAAATACCATCATTTGAAGATGTTCTGCTAGCGGTGTCCTGCGCTTCTCGTAGCGACGGTCCGGTGCCGAACGCCGCAGCGGCGTACTCCGCCGCACGTGGGAAGGTCTCGATTCAAACCAATTCTCTGCTACGAGCCGCGACGGTCAGAAGCGCGCAGCGGTGGCGACGTGGGAAAGGGTCCAGGACATCTATTGATGTCACTGCAGTGCCTCCACCGGGAGGTCCTAGGGTTCCAGCCTCAACGGTAGGAAGCTTTTCCACACTAACTACATATCTAGGTCGAATTCAGCCGCTGTTTATAGGTGAATTCTAGCGGTCTTATGGGTAGTTTTCCGTGGCTTATTAGATCTGGCGAATGCCGGAGCAGTACCCTAAATATCGGACCACGCACCGCGCGCGATCTTTCCTTCCTTCTCCTATCCTTACCCCTTATTTATACACACTTACACTTACACTTACATGCACAATACTACCACACATGCCAATCGAGAGTTCATTGTTTACCTGTCTGGGATGATGCCACACTGGTGGGAGATACCTGGTTAGGGGAAATCTTGCAAGCCGACGGCCCGCGGATCTTTCCATCCAGCGGGGGAAGATCACTATCACTTTCCATGATGAAACACACTACACTTACGGGAATAATGACATTAGCCTTTGTCGTGATCGGGATCATAAGCAACCGAATGAATCTGACGGACCTAATAAAATAAGTACATTAGACTACAGATGAGAATCAAAGAAGAGGAAAGAATGAAAAATGTAGCTTCAATGAAGTAATGAGAAAGAAATAAGTCATGTAATTAGAGTGAACGTAATAGCACATGTGAACATATAATCTTTATTTGAATCAGCCGTGCCACTGGGCGTCCGGGGCCCGCGCAGAGGGCGTGGCGTCGCGTCGCGTCGTCGTCGCTTGATCGAGGCAGTTGAGCCCCGGGGCCCCGCTAAGGAGCCACCGCATAGCGCGCCGCCCCCTAAGTAAGTTAGCGCGGGGCTGAGTGGCTGGGCAGCCCGTTGGGCATGCAACGGACCGCGGCCCGGGCCGCCCCAAAGGGCATCGCTAACTACCCTCACCGCGCCGCCCCATTACCTGCGCCTCACCCGCGGGGGCGGGGGCGGGGCCCTCTAGGGTCTCCCTCTCGGAGGACGCTAGTAGCCCACCCACGCCGAGATGTTGAGGCCGTGATTTCTCGGAGGCGGAACTGTCAATGGTGGAAATATCGTCTTATATCTTTAGTAATAAGGAGCACATGTCTCTCTCTTTTTTGTACAGACAAAGGGAGGTTCGACACTTTTTATTAACGCAATAAAACCTACATGTCTTTCAAACTACAGGAATATGAAGTTCCATGGTCCCATCCCGGTTATGCCTACTTACACCGAGATTTGAGACCGAGATTTCTCGGTGGCGGAACTGTCAATGGTGGAAACATCGCCCTATATCTTCAGTAATAAGGGGCATGCGTCTGTCTGTCTTTGGTACATGGGTTCGTAGGCTTCCGCCGCCGGAGTCAATGCATTCTTGGCTATCCGGGATGAGCCGCGTCTCAATCAATTGTACTGACGTTTCGGCCATCTTGCTGTGGCCTTCTTCAGAGATAGAGAATTGAGCAGTGTAGCTCTGAAGAAAGCCATAGCAAAATGGCCGAAACGTCATTTTTTCCTCGTCAGCACAATTGACCGAGACGCGGTTCATCCCGGATAGCTATGAATGCATTTCTTTGATACAGACCTAAATGGGGCAAAGGGAGATTCCAAACTTTTTATTTACACAATAAAACCCACAATATTCTTCAAACCACAGAAATATTTTAGTTTCATACAGTTCCGGAGACCCTCCGATAATGTATTTGAAAGTTGACAAATCGTATTATTTCTAAAATATTATACACACATTATGTAAACTTACAGAACATCTCCCCCCCAAAAAGTAACTTTAACACATCTTGAGATAAGTTAGATGTAAATAAATTAATTTATGGAATTCACTACATAAATTAATTAAGATTAATATTGGAAAAAAGAAAAAAATAGTTATAACACCTCTACTGCAAAATCCTTCTACATTCATATCTTTCAGAAGCCGAAAACTTCGCAAATATTCTCTGTAAAGTACGACGAATAGTTTTTTGAAGGAAAACCATTGATGACTTAATATATATATATATATATATATATAATATATATATATATATATATATATATATATATTAGTGAAATATTGAGGTGAATACACTAAATATTTAGGTATTCCATTATTTACAAAATTATCGTTTTCAAGATTGTCAAATTTAACAACACACCCACAAAAAAAAACTTTGTGTCTGGGGATCAGACCTTGTTTTCTGTATGTTTTTGGTATCGATAAATCCGTATCCGGTGTCTATTTTACTGCATCACATCAGATTTTTGACATACCTCAAAAAGTATAAAAAATGAAAGATTTCTAACCCTGGGGTCAGACCATGTTATCTATATGATTTTTGGGTTGTTGAAACCGTATCTGAAGTCCATTTAACTTAATCACATGAGATATTTCACGAAAATTTAAAAAAATGAAGAAACCTATGGCTTGGAGAGAAGGCAAGTGATCTGGCACCAATAATATAGGCAATCTGCCATGCAACAACGTGATGACTGTAGTCCCGTCAGGAGCAAATGCTTCTATGGCCTATGTCACAAATGCCACATAATTCTCTATCAATTATAATTGATCTGAATTTAAAAAAATCTTATTTGATGAAGTCAATTGTACTTCAGATTCGGTTTTAGCTACCCTAAAAACATAGGGGTCAGACCATGCTACCTCTAAGTTAGAAATACTTTTAATTTTTTACATTTTTTGAGTTTATGCCAAAAACCTAATATCCTGGAGTAAACTGGACACCGGATTCGGATTTTGCAACTCCCAAAACATAAAGAAACGGTCTGATCCCCAGACAGGTACAACTTTTTTGTGTGGCTGTGTAATTATCTAAAAACCAGAATCTCAAAGCTAACTATTGTACATTATGGGAATACTTAAAAATAATTTAATTTAAAAACTTACAATTCTGAGGAACTAAACTGAACACTGGAAAAATATTAAACATATTTCTAGACTAGGATTTTGGGAATAAACAGGAAGTCGAGGGTGAAGTTATTTTTAAAATCATACCACAAAATAATAGTTATTTTTCTTTGAAAACATTTGACATTTTTACACGCAGACATTTGTCATTTCTAAACAAAATAATGTGATAGCTATTAATACCTTGTTTTTAACGAACGTTATTAATTTAAAATGTACATTCTTAGTGCCAATGTAGTCAGACTAGACAATTTTAATGTACTAGAATGCATGTCACGCCGCGTTATCACACGTCAACTTCTCGAGAGAAAAAAGTATTTTTCGATCACTCATTGCCTCAAATGAAGTCAATACAATCCTTTAAAACATGAAAAATATAAAAACGTAGTCATGTAAACAGAATGATTTGTGAATTACACTGAGAATCATTTATCACACTAAACAGATATCACTGTGTAAATAACTGGGTAAGATCCAATAGATGTCTTGTTAGAGAGGAATTCAGCTAAGAGAAACACGTGTAGGTAGAATATGAAAAAAATATTGGGTTTTGAAAAAAATGAAATTATTAGAGTCGGTTAAGTTACTGTGACATGGCAGACAGACGGAATTATTAGAGAGCCGAAAACGTTTACCTTTCTCAGTAATACCCCTTTTTCTTTTCACATCAGTAATTGATATGAACCCTGTATCAAATCTCTTTCGAACATCTTTCACATCAGTAAGCAATATTATATAACGCTTCGTTGGCCAATTTTTATGGCTAATTTTCGTGAGCCATTGATCACATTAAAACAAACGTTACGAGCTACAGACCCTGTATTTCGAAGCAGCTCGAATCTCGATTTCGTAAAAGAAAAATATCTTTTCGTCCATCACTCCACAGTTGGCACATCAAGTTATTTTCAAACGCCGCCACAAACCTCTTCGTATTCGCACACTTCAGTCAATCCATCACGAGGACATCAACCTTCAAAGAAGACACGTGGCAAACATTTTTTTTGTAACCGGTTGATTAAAAAAATCTGTTACACTTCGTAATTTTCCACTGAGGAACTGATGAGACGAAGCATCCCTCGCGTGCTGCCTGGCGGCAGCAGAGGGCGCGCGAGCGCGCTACCGGATCTTGACACGCTTCATCATGCTCATGACGTGTGGGCCGGGGAACGGGCACTGCGGGTAGAAGTTGTGGCAGCCGGTGCCGTCCACGCCGGCGATCAGCTGGCCCATGTGGGCGGCGAAGTGGTAACGCGACGTCACCTCCGCAGTGGCGCTTAAGCTCGTGTCTCTGTGGAGAAGAAAATTCAAATTAATCCAGCAACTAGACTAAAATAAAAGGTAGGACTTATATACACTTCTATTTACGAAAGTACATTTAAAAAATGTAGAAGATACGTTTTCTTTTGTTATTTAAGGTCGCATAAACTTTTAGGTCATTACCGACCACTATTGTTTGTAACGGTATGGTAACTGTGAGGGGGACACGATCTTACAATGATAGAGAGTGAAAGGACGAACACAATAAAACAATGCCCGAGGCGGAACTCGAACACGCGAATGTTCGGTCCGAGATCGCTACGGCATGACTGCCTTTGCGATTCGTCCTCCGGATCGGCGATACTCTTTTTATTATCACTTGTTGGACTTTTCTGACTTCGGTATTTCTTTCTAGGAGATCCTATTTTCTTAGGACTCCCCTTCAAAGCTAATGACTGACCAGGAGCAGAATTCAGTCTAACAGATCGCCTCCGTTCCCCTGCCACAGATTGTGAATTAAGTTTTTTGGAAAATTGTCAAGGATGCAGTTTAATCTCAAAGAGAAATTATTTTGTTTTCAAATACTCTCATCCAGAAGACAAATATGAAACAAAATTTGTTATAAATAACTGCATAACTCTAAAATGCATTCTAAAGCGTTATACAACACTCGTCAGTTTATTTTGTAGTAATACACTAGCTAAATGGTTTATACGGTTTTTGACATTTTTGTTTGGATGTGTCAGTCATGTTTTTTTGGATAATAAAGAAGTAATGAAGAAATAGTAAAATTGTATTGAAAATTTTGGAGAAGTGTGTCAGATTAGTTCAAAAACGTAACAAACGCTTTAAACAACAGCTATTTGTACTTCTAATTAGACTGATGAAAAAATTCAGATTGTAATCTCCTACAGGAAAATTGATAATGACACTTGTTTCACGCTGATTAAAATTGTAATCTACACGCATAGTAGCTGTGGATGTAGAAAGAAAATTGAAAACTCTTAAGCTATTTTAAAGTTTCCGATTTTCGTATTTTTATTGTAGTTTTTCTCCCAAGAGTTGTGGAAAGGAGCCATACGTTCCAAACCTAAATTTCTACTTCCTGTCCAGACTATCAGAGATTTCATATCTATCAATACCACGTTTCTTATAGTTATGTTTTTTAACTGTTGATCAAAAATTCTGATCGGATGTGTAACCAAAATTGCATTCCTAATTCCCAATGAGTGGTATTCATCCAGAGATTCTGTTGTTGTTGTTTTTATATTTAGAAAACAGAATTTGTGTCACATTAGGATAGATTTACTCTGTTTTCCTTTACAGAAGAGGTTTGGTTAGTTTAGTTACAAAGTTTATTTCGGTCGCTTATTGCGCCACCGGAATTCCATAATTCAAACACACAATAATTTTGTTTCTAGATTTATCCACGAGTGAAGCCTGCATACTTTTCTTATCTTCAGATTGCCAAGCGGTTTCATTTAAGACTGTTTTGTGTTTAAATAATATTTTTAGAATCATTTAATGAACAAAATGATTAATTCTTTAATTGTTGCAACCTTAAATATGAAAACCTATAACTTTCAATTAATTACTTTTGATAATATGTAGACAGAACTACCTTTCACTTGCCAAGAATTCCAATTTTTAGTCACGGTTTTAGTTGGCGCTCTAGATGCCAACGGGGCTCGAACATCACACCTCCACTTTCTCTTTGCACAACTCCAGCAGTAGTTCAAATTTCTCCATTCTCATTCTACAAGGGAAATCTATGACAACGGAGCAATTGGCTTATAAAGAAACAATTAGAACTCTTGCGTAGTTCTCTTGAGGAAACTAATTGAGAGAAAGTAAACGACATTTTTTAATTAGTCACTACATTTTTCTATGATTATTTCAACAAGTACATACGGTAGAACCTTGCTAATTCGAACCCAGCAAATTCGAACTTTGGGACAATCAGAAAAAAATTGGTGGTGAAAAATTAATAATATGATTATTTGTAATGTAAATAAATGATTTTATAATTACTGTAGAACTGAACAACTAATAATTGCAACACAAGTTGACGAAACGAAACCGTTATTACACCACGGTGCATATCACATGATTATGTAGCAGTAATTTTCATTTAGAGGAACTTGCAAAATCGATAATCTCTTTTGCCGTAAGGAACTGAATCTGCTTGATGATGCGATGTGATGATGCGAACGCTATGCTTCGTTGTAATTTTCTCACATCGCACGCTACGTTGCATTGTCTGGTAAGTCTATAGATGTATTCGTTAATGTACGGCACATTTTTGGGGATAATCCGAACATTTCCGAATCCAGTCAGACCACACCCCCAATTACATCGGAATACCGGCGTAATACTGTACTTCGAAGGCTGTGTTGTATTACTGATGACGGACGGGGTCATTCCAATGCTCGTGATAGATGAGTGTGTTGGTGATCCTTATTGACTCGACAAATCTGGTATAAAAATTAAATCGAAATGAAACATTGGTAAATGAATTTTATGCTCAATACTGACGTACTAAAATGTTTTGTTTGAACTTTAGATCCAATACTGAAATACTAAAACGTTTTTTAATTTGTTGAAATGCTACTCTTAAAAATTTTCAAGTAATTTGTTCCCTGAATGTTTAAGCGCCTATCACTCTCATTCGATTTTCCACGACGCAGTAATTCCGTTCGGGAACCTCTTTCACTTGTAAAACCGACTGTACGACTTGTAACACAATTGGCATATCTTCCCCTTCGAGTGAAGGCGCAGCTAGATGCAGCGCAGGTCAGCGACCTTTAGCAAACGCGCGGTTTCTAAATTTCACTCGGCTCCAAGCTTCCGCTTTCCCTCGAGTGAGCACGATCGTGTCGCCACACGCCCTTCCTTTTTCGCCGCCCCCAGCTCCGACCCACCTCTCCCCGCCAAACCCACATCCCTTCTTCTCACACCGCCGCCGCCCGATCCGCCGTCGTCCAGTTCCCGCCCAGTTCCACCCGTCCACCCCGCCCTACCTTCAGCTCTGTCTTCTCACCTGCCCCGCCTCGCCCGCAAAATTCCTCTCTTTTTCTACTTCCCCGCCTCGCCCTGTCCTATTTCACCGTGCACGCCTCTCCCCGTCTCGCCCCCACTCTGCCCGACTCGCCCAGTTTCCGCCCTGTCTGCCCGGCCTCGCCTCGCTCCCGCCAAACCCCGCTCCCTCTCCCCCTCCCCTTCGCCGCCTCGCCGCGCCTCGCCCCGCCCCGCTCTGTACCGAAATGAAAAATGATATTCTTTCTCAACAACAAAAATTACGATTTGATTACAAGTTTTCCGTCTCACACTTTCATAACTTAGATCAAATTTTAATAAACCCAGAAGTTATTACTTCTAATATCTTCAGCAAATATGCACACAAATGTATAAAATCCACAATCCGTGGAACTGAAAAGCTCTCAATCTAGTTTCCACGATTTCCCGAAGCATTCTCCTTGTTTATACAGAGACTTCTAACATGATACCCCTTTGCAACGTGGAGACAAATGACAAAAACTGCGACTTCGGTGATATAACGGTTAGCGTAGGTACCCAACTTTCCAGGTTCAAATCCGATCGAAGCGATGTATTTTTAAAAAAGCCTTTGAACGCCTTACTTTGGATGGGGGAAGAAAAACGGCTGTTGCAACTTACACATTTACTTCCTGTAAAATATCCTCAAGCCTAAAAAAAATTTTGTCGCCTGTTTCGAAATTTGCCTGGTCAGGCGGAAAAACAGGCCTGATGACCTGTGTTTCACCACGTAAACAATGCATGGTGAAAATAGCTGAATAAAACAAACGACCTAAAATTATTTTCTTATTTTATATTCTCATATTGATTATACAACTCTTGATCAAACAATATTTCGACCCGTGAATGAGGTCATCTACAGATAAAGAATTATCACTCTAAAAAATCGTAAGGCAAAATCTAGAATAGAAGAAAAAATTAATATGTAATATTTCTCCTTTCTAATTTAGATTTTAAGTTACACTTTTTTGAGTGATCACTTTGCGTGAAAATGACCCCATTCACGGGTAGAATCGTTGTATGATCAAGAGTTGGATTTATTACTAATTCTGCAATTAAGTTTGAGAACGCGGTAGCAGAATACACTAACGTAACATTATAGAACTTAACAACTTTACAGAAATTACAAACTTGACAAATCAAAATGAACATTTTACCGTGCAATCTTTCATATATCTCCACTTCACCACACTTCACCATATTTCACTTGACCGCACTACGAATCACTGTGCTGTAATGTCTTTCTCACACACTCGTTTCCCTCACACCCTCCCTTCCCTTACACCCTCGTTTTCCTCAGTTGTATAATCAGTATGAGAATAAAAGATTATCATTTTATGTCTGTTTTATTGGCTTATTCGTATTTAAATTCCATCACAGACATGTACTATTCCTTGTAACACATGCATCATTGAATTGAATTGACTAGCAACCAGCTCTGTTGCATGGGGGACGAGGTGCGCGCTCACCGTATGAGGGCCAGCAGGGAGCGCTCTCCGTCCGTGAGGCGTTCCTTCGAGGGCGTGGCGTGCAGCTCGCAGATCATCTTGGGCAGGCACCACGTCTTGATGGTGGCCCACAGCCGCGCCTTGCTCGTCACTGCAACACAGAGTCATTACAGTCAACGCAGTGGTCATTAACATTCCAGATGAAAAAAGAACACACTATTGTTTAAAATATTTAATTATTAGATTGTTGAAAATTCAACATAAGTGTTTTTAAAGAACTTTATTAACATACTGTGCGCGAAACGTTTCTCGTGCTTGTTTTCCGTGTGCGAAAAATCATTTTTTTTTCACAGCATGCGAAACATGTGGAACGATTAGTAATTGTTTTTCGTCGTGACGACGTGTTTGTTTATTATTGATACACAATAGTGTTACGACACTGTCTGGAATCGATTTATTTTTGTACAAGTAAGATATTTCTAATTATTCGATACTTAATTTATATTCTTTTACTTGAGGCATTGCGTTTTGCTCACGGCGTGTTAAAAATAGTACACGGAACACGGGTGCAAGGTAATTCCCGCACTAGTCTCTCTGTCGTGCAAGCGTAGCTCTGATAACAAACTCGACTCGTGCGTGAATCACCTGTTTTGCACCCTTATTACGTAAACTACTATTTTTATTTATACAGGAGACATTGATATATTGGAGTCGCTCAAAAATTGGAAAATATTTTAAATTTCGGAAAACAAATCACTGCATTATTCTGGAGTTTAATTTTATTTTTTCAACATATTAATATTTTAAATATATTTAATCTTTCAATCAAACTATGCCATTTTCTAATATTATACCCGCCTATTACCAGAATATAAATTGCAATACTGTAATACAAATAATGATCCGATGATTTCTTTCTCTCTAATTTTAATTTTATAGTTTTAGATAAGTTTCTCTTTTAATTTCTGTAGAACCTATCACAAAATCGAATGATTTGTTGTAATTTTCCTCAGCTTAAAGGGATCTCTCTGCAGAATCAATTAGCTTAAAAAACTGACTTGTCATGTCCAGTACAATAATGTCAGGATGAATAATCTCGACTCACCAATAGAGTAGTGTGTTGACGTCTTATCTACCCTACAAAAAACTATATTAATGCGATGACGATTTTTCAGGACCTGTCCACTAACATCCAAATCGGCTGAGTTTTCAAAGTAAGAATACGTGCAAACTCGTCGAGCTACAATACAAAGAAACTCATGACGAATTACACCGAGTGATGAGACCGACCGATAACTTTGTTACGCCGAGTTCAAATGTCACATGAATTACTTATGCGAAGATGTTGAAATTATATACAGATCTGTTCAGAGCGCAGATTGTACACCACCTTACATTATTACTACTTCTGAATATTTTCCTCTACAATTTTGAAATATAATGCCTATTTGACAAGAAATAGCAAAAGTGTGGTACTTTCTTGTTAGCATTATGCATTTTTCTGTTAGGAGTCAATTTCGTAGACACGCAGACTGAAGAAACAAGAGAAATTACTTTTTCGGATTTCCCCACTGGAAATTCCGCGTGTTGTTAAGAGCAAATGTTTGCACGAGATTGCTGATAAAGTCCATATGCTCGGGGTGACAAAATTGAATTTTTTTCAACGCTGCTTTTGGGATCTTTTAAACCTACACTTCATTTTTTTCCCTTTTCGTAAGGAGAGATGCACGTGAGTTGCACCACTTTATGATAAACGAATTGGAAACTGTCGACTACAACTAATTGTCTTGGCCGAAAAACTGTGACACGAAACTGTAATTAATAGTCATGAGACAATTGAAGTTAATTTGCAGCTCGCTTATAAACTTATATTTTAACGCAGGCCACCCCTTATTTCTAACTTCCCACTTCACGAACTAGCTTCACTTCATTATGTATTATTCATCACTTCATTCATGTATTATTCTGTAATCATATATTTGATCTGTGATGTGGCATTTAGAAACCACGAATTTGAACAAAAATAGTAATTAGTAATAATGTTAGGAGAAAACAGTCCATATTTAATTGAGAATGAAGGCTTGAGAAAAGAAAAAACATATTTAACAGGAGCAACAACATGACCAGAACAATTATTATTGTAAACGGAGAACAAATGAAGTGTGTTTAGTCGAGAAAACTTAATATCAACTGATAAACACACCGGCATACTGTAGTCAAATACAACAAGATTATCACATCGGTATACATTCCAGCAACACATGAGTTACAGAAAAAGTCAATACAGATAGGACCGTTTGGAATCGAATATCTATTTTCATTCGTGCACTTCTTTCCGGTCATTATGCTTGGACTATGCTAACAGCCCGTTAACCAAGCAATCATACTTGTAATCCCTTGATGATAAGTCGCACACCAACACGCACAGTATTTACATATTACGAAAAGTATTTTTTTAATTGTGGAAATTTGCATATATCCATTTGAAAAAAAAAATCTTTACAAATGTATGTAGACAAGAATGATTTAAAAATATAATTTTGTATCATATTTTATACCGAAAAGTATATCTAAAATGTTGCATCATATCACTTGAATCGTAAATCGTTCTCTTGATTTAGAATCGTATACGTTGTTAAAAAGCAACCAAGTCACATAATATGACAGCAAGTTCAAACATGTGTAGGCAATTCCGCGAAGACCATACACTAAAACGTTTGCGCTCTTGTCGACTTTTTCGTTTCATTTTTTTGAGATCTGTAGAATGATACGAGAATGTTAGGCATTGATGGTTCCTCTCAGCTGTGTTTATTTAACCGAGAGCGTCTAAGCACAGACGAAAGAATCGCAAGCGTAAAGCCAAACACGAAGCGTCTGTGGCCAGAATGTTGTCACTTGTTTTTTGCCAATCTGAAGAAAGATTTGACCAAACGTTTCGCCATCTGAAGTTCTACCAAACAGATTTTGTGCGAAGTATGGTACGCAAAGTTAATTTGCCGACAGAGAAGTATTAAGAATGAATTGCTCCCAAACGATTTCCACATAGGTGTGAGTTGAAAGATGTTAAATCCATAAAATATGTTTCGCATGAACGTTCTTAGTTGAGTATGATTTGAATTATTTGAATGTTTTTTTTAAATTATGGACATATAGAATGAAGAGAAAATATGAGAAATGGCATTACAAAGGCGAAAAGAAGAGATATAGTAAAGCGGGTACAGGCGATTTGAATTTGAAAGCACTAACAGGGAAGATGGTGCATTCTGCCTGATGCACAAAGAGAGTGACTCGGAAGGAAGGAAAAAGACGAGGCCAAACACATAAGAAGGATGAGAAGGGGTTTTATACTCGGCCAATCCATTGTGAAATTAGTGGTGGATCAAGCGAGTTCTGGAATTATTTCTCGACGTTTTCCGGAATCTTCTACCTCTCATTCCATCATTCTTCACCAATTACCTCATCGTTATCATCTACATATTAAATCAATTCTCAGGGGCTTTGAAAGTTGTAGTTGAAGTAGTAGTTGAAGGGTTCCAGAACTGTAATAGATACATAGGTAAGTGGATAAATAGAAAAATAAATAGATAAACGAGATGGGAGTGGCGAGGCGGGAAGAAATAGGAGTGTCATGACAGGTGAAGAGAGGCAAGGGAAATCGGGTGGAGTGAGTAGGAGACGAGGAGAGACAGTCGGGGTTGGTTCTGAGGGGCAGGATGGAAGGAGCGGGGTGAGAGGGGTGAGAGGGGTGGAGAGGGTGTGGCGAGAGGGGCGGAGCGGGACGAGAG